TTAAGCTCTTGTCTTCAACACTCCATGGACACGGCCATTTAGTTCCTTTCAAATTACCTTGTCCTTTATGTTGCTTATTATAATACAGCATATTGTACAGTACATAATATATTTCATATATAAAATATATAATATGCAAAATAACCACATTTAAAAAAGTAAGTAGTTGCCAGAGTGCATTCAACACTCTCAGACCCTTGTTAATTCTGATATTGACAAAGGTCTTAAGAGAGTCGAAGATCTCTAACAATTATTTAATTTTTGTCAAAAAGTGGTTATTCTACATTTAATAGATTATTTATAGGGTCTTTTAGTACAGTTGGCCTTGTCCTTGACTCACAATCAGAGATCCAGGGTTCAATTTCCGGACATTTCAGAAATGTTTGGGCACATTTCTTTCACCTAATGTCTCAGGTCACCTAGCAGTAAATAGGTACCCTGGAGTTGGGCAACTGTTGTGAGGTCCTGTGGAAGGTCAGTAGTTCCACCTTACAACATATATGTTATAATTAACAATTATAAATATATTATAATATAGAATATAGAATATATATAACTATAATTAACATATATGCTAAAATTAACATACCTAAAGTATATGTATAATTTACACAGGCTTCCTGTCCCCACCAAAACGAATTCTTCAGGAAGACCAATTCCCCACCACCACAGACAGGTACCCCAAGTGTAGATAACACAAACATTGATAAACTACAAGTATTGGTATGTACTGCCGGCCAGTCTCATATCTACCTTATCTCGTAGTCATGACCTCTAACATTACCTACAGCCGTGAGGGAGGGGAGAGTACTCGGAGGTCATAGTCCTAAAGAGCTCGGGTTTGATCCCCGGTGGAGATGGAAACAAATAGGTAGTTTCTTTCACCCTGACGCCCCTGTTCACCTAGCAGTAAAATAGGTACCTGGGAGTTAGACAGCTGTTACAGGCTGCTTCCTGGGGATGTAGTAGAAATAATAGAGGAAGAATAAATTGGTTAGAAAGGCGGGGTCCAAGAGATAATATCTCCATTCTGCAGATACAAATAGTAAATACACTAATGCGCTCGCTTGCAGCACAAATTAAAATTAGTTCACCAAATGTTCAAATTGCTCAGCTTTTACTACAACTGGTGTTCAGTTACTAAGCCCATAATAAGCCTAATGTTTCCCCCCCCCCATAGTAGGGTACACCACTATTGATATAGTAGTCCCATAGCAACCACCTTACTTTGACTAAACCAATGTCACTTACTCAGGGAACATAGCCCGACAAGAACACTGAATTCTTGCTCCAAGAAGAATCCGAGGCCCGTTGTAAAGTACTCCACAGACACCCAATGGGGATCACAACTGCTGCGGAGGAACTCCATGTCAGTAGGTCCGGCGGGGTGGGTGGCTGCGGCCCGTCTGAGTCTGCCTCACCACATGTAGGGCTGCCACCACCACCTCTCCAGCGCTGCCAGCCGCATAACACTTACTTCCACATTATATAATTCAGCATATAACTCGGGAGATAAATATAACTTTTATATAATATATGTATCTCCCCCAGGGAGGTACTGCGGACGATTCTGTGAATGTAATTTACAGATATGAAGGCTAAAATTATGGTTAAAGGGCTACTAAGCTGGCAAACTCACTATAACTCAAGTGATCACAATTAATAACTAACTAACTAGTTAATTACAAGACAAAGTTAGAGAAGATGCAAAGGTATGCCACCAGACTAGTTCCAGAACTGAGAGGTATGAGCTACGAAGAAAGGCTACGAAAGGTAAACCTCACGTCCCTGGAAGACAGAAGAGTAAGGGGAGACATGATAACCACCTACAAAGTTATCAGGGGAATCGACAGAATGAACAAAAACAAATAATTTAGCATCGGTGGAACACAAACAAGGGGACACAGGTGGTAACTGAGTACCCAAATGAGCCACAGAGACATTAGAAATAATTTTTTTCAGTATCAAAGTAGTTAACAAATTTAATGCATTAGGCAGTGATGTGATGGAGGCTGACTCCATACACAGTTTCAAATGTAGATTTCATAGAGTCCAGTAGGCTCAAGAATCTATACACCAGTTGATTAACAGTTGAGAGGTGGGACCAAAAAGCCAAAGCTTAACCCCCGCAAGCACAACTAGGTGAGTACAACTAAGTCTATCATCATGACACAGCATCGTTATCACGTTCTCTAAATTATCCATTTTCTCTTATTGGTCTGTCGTAGATTTAGGGGGGTCTGGTCGAATCGTACATAAGCGAAACGGATACCGTTGGTTCGGATACAAGACATCGTACAGAAGTTGATCTGTACGAACGAACCAACCAACGAATTTTGAAACCTACCTAACCTCACCTAGCTGAACTAACCTAACCTAACCTAACTCAACAGAGCCCAGTACAGCCTAACCTTAGCTAATATATCCTAGCGTGACTATACATTATTAAACAATATAACATTATATTTATTTATTTATTTATATACAAGAAGGTACATTGGGTTAGAGAGAATACATTATATAGTATTTGCAATCTTGTAAAGCCACTAGTACGCGCAGCGTTTCGGGCAGGTCCTTAATCTAACTTTAAATCTAATCTAAATTTAATCTAATTTTAAAACATGTTTTAACAGTAAACGAGTTTCGTGGAATCATGTGGTGCCAACCTTCCACCCCCTGCTTAGCTGCTCTAGGGTCCTTGGAACTTGTAACAATGGGTTTGTGAGAGTACATAACATTGATCTTTTTACATTCTTGCAAAAACCAGCCCCCTCCTCCAAACAAAGACCTAAAAGTGATTCCATGCACCCGCCAAACCCCCTGTTTATGAATGAAAAACGGTTTACACACGACTCGATTAATTTCGTTCGAACACTTCCGGAGCAAGTGCTTCACTGCAGCCCATCCTCCAAACAAAGATCAAAAAGTGATTATATGCACCCGCAAACCCCCTATTTATGAATGAAAAGCGGTTTACACACAACCCGTCCTCGACTCTAGTCCATTACATTCAGCGGTCAACCCCACAGACGCATTCATAAATTTTATCATGCTGTTTATTCAAAACGGGAATTTTCTTAAGTATAAATTAATATTATAATATATTAGCATATTGTGTATATATAGGCATAGGATAGGGTAGGTTAGGTGTTTAGGTTCTGTTGGCGATTATTTGTATTTGTAGTACGTGGGTGAAGCATTTATAGCGTTGTGATTCGAACAAAATTCGTCAGTGAAGCACTTGTTCCGGATATGTTCGAACGTCAGCAGTTGTGAGTCGTGTGTAAACTGCTTTTCATTCATAAACAGGGTGTTTGGCGAGTGCATAGAATCACTTTTGGATCTTTGTTTGGAGGACGAGCTGTTACATAAGACTCACAACTGCTGACGTTCGAACATATCCTGAACAAGTGCTTCACTAACGAATTTTGTTCGAATCACAACATTACATTACTACTACATTATTATATACTACTACTCTCTTACACACTCACATTTCCAGGAAGCAGCCCAACACCCAGAAACTTTGCCCATTTGTATCCGCCTCCGCCGAGAATCAAATAAATGCCATTAGGACTATGACTCCCGAGCGCTGTCTACTCAGCCGCGAGGCCCCGCGGCTAATATATGTGATAATGGCATGCTGTTCCTTGTTGAATTCTGGCGACCGCCAACTAGCCTATGTCCATCCTGTACCCCAGAGATATACTATATTATATATATTTAGGGGTACCACCACTGGTACAATTGAAGGGACCCACATCCTCGAAGAAGAAAAAAATAAAGTGTTCAGAGAAGACCTTGTGGATTCTCACTGAACACTTTAATCTTTTCCTCTCCTACCACCCCTATTATATATATATATATATATATATATATATATATATATATATATATATATATATATATATATATATATATATATATTATTAAATATGACCGAAAAAGTAAGATTAATAATTCTTATATTATAACATTAATATTAATTAATAATATTATGGTGATCACCACCATAATAATATTATGGTGGTGATTATAATATTAATATTAATTAATAATATTATGGTATAATATTAATTAATTCTAATATTATATTATTAATAATTCTAATATTATATTATTAATAATTCTAATATTAATAATTAATAATTCTAATTTATTAATCTTACTTTTTCGGTCATATTTAATAATATGTCTACAGGAAAGACTGCTACCAAGATATACTAGTATATATATATATATATATATATATATATATATATATATATATATATATATATATATATATATATATATATATATATATATATATATGTATGTATGTATGTATGTATGTATGTATGTATGTATGTATGTATGTATGTATGTATGTATGTATGTATGTATGTATGTATGTATGTATGTATGTATTTGAGACAAATGAGGGGACGTGTATTTACCCTCAGGTAAATATGGAGATCCCCTGAAGGTGGAGCTACTAATCCTGCCCAGGACACAACCTCACAACAGTTGCCTGTGTAACTCCCGGGGGACACCCATTTACCGTTCGGTGAACAGTACATTAAGTGAAAGGAAATGTGGCCAACCATTTCTGTTCTGACTGGGAATCAAACTCGGGATTCCTGATTGCGAGACGAGAACCAAGCCAACTGTACAATATATATGTGTATGTGTGTGTATGTATATATATTCCATTAAATGTAGAGTACTGGTGGTACTAGAGGTATGGGCAATATATGAGGATTAACAAGTGGACAAACAGGAAATAAAAAATGCATGTGAAAATATGTGGGAAGTGTAGCAGATTATACATTTCAGAATATATATATTATTGCCTCACATTCAAAATAAAATCGTGTCTTTAAACAAACAGATGCACACCGTATAGCTCCCCAACGATACGTAAACTGAAGGCGTAATGAAATATGAAGGAAGTGGGGTAGAAAAATGGTAGTATAGTAATGTGTGTGTGAGCGTGTGGCATGTGTGAGAGTGGTGGCGGTGGTGGCCAATGGTGGAGCAGAGTGAGTGAGACCACCACAGTGGCGTGAGGTGTCTGAGCTGCTCCCCCCGGCCTCTCTGTCTGCCTATACAACTACTCTTCCCTCCGCGTTTCCCATAACTTGGTTTAGTGAGCTAGGAGCTGTGAGGTGAGTAGAGGTGGTGGTGTGTGGGTGTGGGCGGCCACAGGGCATGAGGGACCAGGTGTGTGGTGAGGACGGTGGGTAACACCTGTCAAACCCGCTACTCACATCTTGCCTCCAACACCAGTCCTTCTCTTGTTATATGTAGCTATATCTATACTTATATACCTTATAACACTTAAAGTGTCTAGCAAAGTAGTTTAGTGTGACTTTACATGTATTTAAACTAGACTTTACAACAATCCAGAGGAATGAATAGTTCGCCCGGCCGCCGGGTGGTGCACGACCCCGATAAAACAAACTCGATTATTTTTTCTGTATCCTTTAGGATTTCTGAAGCAGTAGGCCTGTATTTTGTTAGTCAATTATTACCCAGTCACATACAGTTTAGCATCTGGAATTAACATGCGCGGAGTCCTGTTATAGACTAGAGCCGGTGAATCTGAGCCAGTTTGTGTAGAGGAGACCCACTCAAGTGTAACTTGTGTACTTTTAAATATCTCGTTCTAGGCCTGCTATATAGTTTTAATGGCTTGGCGCTTTTCCCTGATAATTCTCGCCCTAGGCCTACCAAGGGGGACGACTAGTAGTTCCTGCTGACGCGGTCAAACTGAATTGTAATTAGTTTTGTTCGGGACAGGTAGCCTGTATTCACCTAGTTGTGCTTGCAGAGGTTGAGCTCTGCTCTTTCGGCCCGCCTCTCGACTGTCGATCAACTGTTACTAACTACTAATTATTTTTATTTCACACACCTGGCTGTTTAGGTGGCTTACCATTACAGGTTTGGAAGTGGGGTGGGTGGCCTGATATTACAGGTTTGGAAAGTAATTTCGGAGTAACTATTTTCACTTGTGTGGTGATATCATTCAACACTCCTGCCATAAAGATAATTTTTGGGGGGGATGATGTACATAATTAGGCTAGGTGTTTAGGTTAAAGGTACATTTCGACTAGTATACAGAACCCAGCTGCCGTAGAGCCTCCTGTACGCTGACCCAAAGATTGACCTTATAATTAATGGAGCTTCATTCCAGCTGCGATGTCAGAACTGGCGACCTTTCACATGCCCGACACCCTTCCAACCCTGGCCCCAGTCAAGCTCTCGGTTGTGTACTTGAGCACTTTGATAGTACAAGTACACTTCAAGTAGTACCGTACTTGAGCACTTTGATGTACATGACGTCTCGAAACCACCTGGAGAGGGTTAATTTAGAGATGTTTTAGATTCAGCTACTCGCCGCAAAAGTGCCAGGTAGCACGGGCCAAGGTGAGCCCGTAGTGGACTGTCAGGTTTCGGGAGTTGTTCTACTCCCCGAGCCCGGCCTCGACTTGTGATAACTTGGTCCAACTGGCTGTTGTAGCATGGTATAAGGTTAAATCAGGTTCCTGGTTGTTCACCTTGACTGGTAAACCCATTTTCCACCAGCTTAACCTACTGATGTGGTAAAATTTGACCAATTTATTAGTGGTGTGGCTACAGAGACAGGACTACTGTGGCGATATTTCGGCCCGTCCTCCTGATTTGTTAGTACTTATAGTAACGAGGAGGACCATAGTATATATACCGACGTACGAAATTAGTGGAAATCGGCACTATTGAGTTGGACAAATCGGAAAACAATTTTTTCTTCTGCTGCAAAGACAAACTAACCTTCCTAGGCCTCATACACGATATCAGAGGCCTAATATGCGTGTGTGCTATCATAGGCCTAGGAATATTTAAGTTTTTTAGCTTCATTTTTTATAAGAATTCCTCAAGTCTGTATATTATTTAAAAGCTAAGCACGTACGAATTCGTGACGATCGTCAATAGTCACAATAGGTACTATCTAAACAGGAAGATGAGTTGCTATATAGCACTATTTATTTATATATATACATACAAAAATGTACATTGGGTTTGAGAGTACATATTTATTTAAAAAGTAAGTTATAATGTAGTAAAAGAGCAGCAGAGACATTTCCTACCTTATCCCTGATTTTTAAGAGATGTTATCAGTTAAGCGGTAACAGGGACAAGTCATTAAATGCGAACATAAGTGTTCTCACAAGATAACGTCAAGATAACAATGTTACGCCTAATTGATCGCTGATGACGTATCAAAGAGTATACAATAGTTGTCAACCAATGCGGGTAATTAAAGGAACGGGTGGCGGACACGAGTTAGTAGGTTGTATAGACATACAGCATACCCCACACAGTGCTGCTGTTCATACTTCATCTGGGAGTGATGCGGTTCAGTCGCAAAGACGTGTATTCTTAAATACAGCATCCTGCTTGGGGTCTATGTAGAGAACCTGGTTAATCATTTTTGTATGATTTGACTTACAATTTAAACTTGGCTTAATTGCTCATCTGTTGCTATTAAAAGGCCTACAAAAGTTATAAACTGTAAAAGATTGTTACCTCTTAAACCTTCATTGACCCTGTAATTATTCCATTAATTGATGCGCGTCAGAAATCACTTTCTAATCCTATAAATGGACATATAATAGGCCTACGGGCCGCTCCAAGCAACAGCCTTTCGTATAGAGTTGTGACAAGTCAAGTCTCTCTCTACACCGGGCATGGAGAGAAATAAAGATAAACATATTTCAGCCACGTTATTGTTACTCCTCGTCTACACGAGGAGAAATACTTAACAGAATCTATTCCTGATGTAATTTTCCAATCACTTGGGCTGTACGGTAGAGCGACGGTCTCGCTTCATGCAGATCGGCGTTCAATCCCTGACCGTTCAAGTCGTTGGGCACCATTCCTTTCCCCCGTCCCATCCCATCCCAAATCCTTGTCCCTTCCAAGTGTTATATAGTCGTAATGGCTTGGCGCTTTCCGCTAATAATTCCCTCCCTCCTGGTGTAATTGACGTATGAGCCACTGACCTCTTCCTCTGTACGAAAGATTTGCCAGTGTGTAAACATTTGGCAAGATACTGCAGAGAACAAAATTGTTAGATATGAATACAAAAAAATCTCTGAATGCCTTGACCAACATATTAAATAAAAGTCCCCACCTTAGCACCAGCTTGAGGATGGCTAGCGGCAGTTATCAAGCCATCATTTGTTTTGTAACCACTTTCATAGGATGTCAGGTGGATGATATTGCTTAAAACAGATCACTTGAAATTTGTCACGTCACATTATAATTATAAATGTTTAGTGTTGTAATAATTCACCAAAAATAATGGGTGCGTTAATTTGAATTTCTTCCGCTAATTAAAATTCATAGTGAAAATTGAAATTAATCAGATTGTTCCGACGATTGTTGTAATAAATTGTTGTAATAATTTTATTGAAATAAAATGTTTTTTATGTATTGAACAGCACACTAAATGTAGGATGCAGTGTCCGTATTTTGCATTTTCCATAACTTAAGAAAAGATTTTTTAGTTAACTTTTTTTTTTTTTAGATTTTTTAGATAACTTTAAGAAAAGATTTTAAGAAAACTTAAGAAAAGAAAAACCTTAGATTTTTTCGTATGGTTTACCATTGTCGGGGACAGGGAGCCTGTAGAACCCACATCAGGTGAAGGGAAACTGGTCCAACCGCCCGAAACGCTTTGCGTAATAGTGGCTTTAGGCATTGTATGTACTAGCTCTATCTATTAATCCAACAAACTTTGTAAAATCTCTTGTATGTATGTACCTTACCTAAATAAACATTTATTTATTTATTTATAACCGCGTGAGTTGAACCTTGGACGCTCGGTTGTCTTTTTATTTCAGTACCGGATGAAAGCAACAGGCTGTGATTTTGCCCAGGTGAAGCGAGACAGACCCTCTACCGTCCAGCCCAAGTGGTTGAGAGTCCAACCCTTCTTACAAATTACGTCGCTTTTCGCTCGTATGCGCTACAAGGGTGCCGATTCCTGTTCTAGGTAAAAACTAGGCTACGCGATTTTCTCATAGCCTAACCTTTCACAGCGAGTTGGTGGCATAATGCTCATTTGTTGGGACCAGTGGCTCGCACATGAATTTACTACGGGACCACAAATCAAAGCTGGTTTTGAATATTGTACTAGTATAATTTTGTTAAAAAGCGGTTTCAGATATTTTTAGAAATGATCATTAGTCTTCCACTTTTTTACTCCATTGGGCGCGTCACTGGTTGGTCCGGTTCTGCATACTTCATATTTTTCTTTGAATTTTAAATATTTCCTCGTTTAAGAAGACCATCCAAATTGCTACATTATTTTTTTTAATTATAAATTTCATCAAACTTCAATATACCAAGATATTAAAACCTTCACGTCCATATAATGTTTTGGAAGTTCAGAAAGCCCTCTTCTGAAGGTACTTGCCTCGTGGACCTGGCCAAGCAATAACTATTCCTTCCGTAATAAAATGTGCATTAAAAAGCCACGCTCTAACAAGCAGACAAGTTCAGTGGCGCACTTACAGGCATATTCACTGCAGGAATTAAAAGAACGTAGGAATAAAGGCAGCCCCCTGAACACCTATTAACCCATGCGAGGCTGCTCATTTATATCCACCCTAACTCATTCATATATACATGTCTAACCTACGCTTTAAACAATCCCGCTACATGACAATTGTTACCCGACAATTTAATTTTTAAGTTTTTTTTTTTTCATTGGTTGGAGTTAATTTTAGAGATAAAGATTAGGTGGGCGGGTAGAGGGTCACCAGTAGCACTTGCCCATAATGACTTACTGCATCGTGACTTTGGCAAACAGGTTATATAAAAATTATGCCTGCTCTTACATCGAACCTCCTAACGTAACCAGAATGGTACGGACCCCCTCAACCTACCAAACCCTATAGTTAGATACATTGAAAACATATTTGAGCCATTACTGAATAGGTTGAATTTATAAAGTTGGTTACGAGAACTTACAAAACGCGACCTATCAGTTTAGGACGAGTTGGGAGTAAAGATGGAGAGGTGCAGGTGAAGGAAAAAGTTTTGCAGTGGGAAATATAGTGATAGCAGGTTGGCTGTCCCTAATAGCTGCACAGAGTAAAGAGTTTCGAATATCGTTTGTATGGCTACCATCACAAATAAATCTAACCCATCATAATGACACACTGCAGCCAAATTAGCGTGTAACGAAGTTGAATTAGACCTAGGTATCCTCAGCTTTGCTGTCAAAACTATATTGTTCCAAATACTCAGGTCTGATAAGAGAAATTACAGATTCCCAACGACCTGAAAGCCCTAGTATAAAAAGCTATGATTTATTTAGATCTGAAACCTATAATCTATGGGTAGCACTAAACGTCTACCAGACTGCAACACAGTGGTTGCCAGGATCAGGTTAGGTTCAAGGATTCTTGCAGCTGCTGGGCTGTGTAATCATATGGTGGACGGCGTTTTGCAGCATTCATTAAAGCTTTACTTTGTACTGCTTGTAGTTTTTGCATGTTAGTTTTCTTTAAAGTGTGTAGTGATACTGGAGGGCATTAAGAATTGGACCGGACTAGAACCTTTTAAAAGAGTAACTATATGTTCGTGCTAAGGCTTCAGAATCTCCCAAGTTTTTCCTAAGGCTGTTTTTGCTTTGTATATTATGTTCTTCGTGAAATGTTTCCTGTTCTATTAATCACGAGTCTCTGCATTTTTGTTTACATCCGTATGTTTGATTGTGCGGTTGTCGAGGATAATGGAGTAAGGATTTCTTGCATGACCTCTGCACCCCTTGGGCTAGGTCATGGGTACCTCCGCGTCCTAGGGCCAGGTCATGGGTACCTCTGCAGACTAGGGCCAGGTCCTGGGTACCTCTGCAGCCTAGGGCTGTGAGACCTCCGTGGTGTTCATCTTCCCGTCGACCACTGGGTGTCGTCAGCGTTACGACCTTGAGGATAACCATGCACACCAGAAATAAATCGCCTGATGATAAATTTAACTCCCTATCTTGGGAGTTGTTAAGAGTGGTGTGTAATGTGTCGGGTCACGCGTCTAGAGCGTGGTGTTGCCCAGCTCCTCCCCGCCTGCTCAGCTACCCTCACTTTTCTTTATAAAAAGATACCAGACCGCCGCCACTTGCTTGCCCAGGTCATCACTCGGCCGCCGTCTCTACCCAACCGGTATACCTGTAGCCGGGTTCGAGAGTTCTTCTATTCGCTAAAACGCCTTGGGGGGGGGGGGCAAACGTGTTTGGTGATAACTCGATTGGATAGGCTGTTGCTCGCAGCGGCGTGCAGGCGCAAACATCGGTTAGATTGATCCGACAGTGCCTGAAGCAATTTTGTTAAGTTTCCCTTTTAAAACTTACTTTTTTTTTCTTAGTTTTAGACTATAATCAAAGCTTCAGTCTTCCGGGTTTAGTATTTTGTTTTGATTCTTGCTTACCCATACACACCGTCGTCTAGAGTTGCTACAACGGACATAAAATGGTGTACTAAGCCACGGGAATCTAAGCTAACTTAGCGGCCTATGCACAGGAAACCTTAATGCTAGTAAGGCGCTATGATTTACATGTATACAAAAGGCCTTTTGGCCCATATGACTCCAAACTTATTCATACACAAACATTTTATTGATAAATGGTTGTACGTTTATAATTGGGAACGTTTACGTAAACAAATGTATTGCATTAATTACGTAAGAGACTCTGACTACCTTAGATACGGGCCTTGTATTTTGTAACCTTTGTGTGAAGGAGTCTCTTAATTGGTCGTCGCCTGGCACTGCTACAGTGGGTAAATGTCTCCATTAATGTGGAGTGCTGCAGGCTGTGGACGGGGAGGACAATGTCTGTCACCTGATACAGTTCTAAGTGAAAGGTGTAGAGGAAATTGTGCCAAGGTGAATGATTGGTTCTTATGAGGTTGGAAGGGGAGGTAGCTTGTAATAAGGGCCCTCCAGTAACGGGTATTTCGCAACTACTTTACACAGTAATAACGTGCAAAAATATGCCCCAAAAGGTTTTATTTAAAATTGTTCTCCCTCCTCCCCCCACTTAAAAAAATATAATAAAATTATCGAAACAAATCTAGCATGGTATTATATGTATATTAGCCTCGGTACATTAGAGAGTTTTTGACTCATTGTTGCTAATTTTATATTTGTTACGAGAGCGAATGACACGTCTTGAAAGCTGGTGAAACATTTTAGAATGTCTCTGATAAAATGACTAAAATGTTACCATAACAGATATATATATTTATGCCCAGTAATGGTGCCAGTATTATGTCTGACCTGGGGTCTGGGGTCACAGAGGCACGAGTCTACACTGCCTATTGGGTCATCTGGCAAGTCACTTAAGGCAGCTGTAGTAGTACACTCGAATTGCCATGGTTATTATAACCCCTGTGTGCTCAGTTCGTGCTACCCAAACTGCTCGCTCTTGCTCTCATACACATAGGAATATTGTATAAGGAATATATAAGCTTGTATAAGGAATATTGCTCGTATTTAGTTTTTTACCTCTGCTTCACACGCTATTTGTTAGCCCAATGATGGCCGTGGGCATTGTCACCCGGGTGGGCAGGTGTTTTCAGTGTCCTTTGTTCCCCTGGGTGGAGTGTTCTTGTTCACACGTCTAAAATAACTGGCAGTATACATGTAGTATATCTTTGTAGCCAGAACAATGGGTTATTCATACATCTGTGCTTTCGTAGTCAACCCATACGTAACTCCCTCCCATGGCATGATCTGCCATGGGAGGGAGTTTCTAATAATGTTGCGTGTAGGAAAACAAGGAGTACCTCCCTGGTGGGAGCAGGAGGGGGCTTTCCTCTCCCTCCGGCTCGCCTGGCCAGACGTAACGGCACCCTGACCGGAACTGTCTGGGAGCGGGCAGACAGGCTGCTCTTGAGCTTATCTCCGTCGGACCACACATCACGTGTACTGGTGGAGTGACACTCCTAGATCTTATCTCCTGCTTTATGTTGGTAGGCAACGGACACTTTTATTGTGTGTAAAAGGAGTTGATTGTGTATAGATATTGTGTACAACTAGGCACCGACTATTGTGTAATTATAGGTACTGTTTGATTGTCCAGTATATAATTGTAGGCATTGATGGACTGGTTAACATTATAGGTTATATAGAATTATAGGTACAAGCATTATATTATATAAACTTAAATATAGGACTTTGCAGTTTTCCGTTGATTCCCGGAAGCAACAAAGGGTAAACGGGACCACCTTTGCAGCCAGACTGCCGTTGTTACCATGAGCCCAAAGTCGTTGTTTCCCGGTAGACAATGAGGTGAGGGTTTATCATAGATGTAACAGGCGCAGCCTTGGAAATATAATTGTTCTGCGATTTCTTTGAGAAGTCTCCTTATCATAAGATATAATTTAAGACTATAACTTAATAACGGATAATGAGACGCAGTGGTTGATACCTGGTTCAGCTATTAATATCGTTTTGCCACGTGATAAGATATTATTGAGAGGAGCCAGAATGAACGCCACGTGGTAACCCTTGACAGAGTACCACTCCACCCGTCCCACCTCGACCCTGTAACTACCCCGGGGGTTTGCATTCTCTTAGTCGTTGGCCTGGAGTGGACCACAACTCCCTGAAAGTTTGCAATAAAGACTTGAGCTTGACCCCAGGGTGTGCTGATTCAGGGGTCTCTGGAGCAAAGGATCCCAAGTAGATATTGCCAAGGGGGGGGGGGATTTCTATGGAGACCAGGAATAGGTATGCAACCCATCCTCCTTATACAAGCTATACAAGACCATACACACATGTTGATAATAAGGGGTGTCGTGAAATACGGAGTTAAGTTTTGTATTTACCGTGTACAGGAGTCATGTCAGCGAAGGCTATCAGAGAAGCGACGGGCAAGACCCTGCTCAACAACAACCTTCCCTCCAATGTTAGCGGCACGTGTCGCTTCGCCTCCATCTCCCAGGACACGCAGTGGGAGGACCTCGTCACGGATCATCCATGGCTCAAGACTGAGGTAAGGAACGGTGCCATTATTGGAGGACGGATGTTGCTGGGTGATGCTTGTCTCCTACAAGCTTGGGTGTGCGCTGAGCAACCTGTCCTCTTTCCATGTGGAAAGCCACTTTATCCTGGTGACCCGCGGTCACGGAGCCCCCTTGCCTTCACCAAATTATCCACTCAGACTACTAAAGACTACTACTCAGACAGCTGATTCACTTAACTCAGTGTCCGAGGTTTAAGTGAAGGAGCCACTGTAACGAGAGGCTGGGATGAAGGCCTGGTACATGAAGTAACCTTTACTGGTTGGCTTGGTGGTGTTGGGTTGGTGTTCAGTACAGAGGTGGTATGCTGTACCATGTTGTGAAGGAGCAAGTGTCTTGTATGTAACCTGGAGATAGTGTGCGTGTTTTTGTGTGTGTGCGTGTTTTTGTGTGTGTGCGTGTTTTTGTGTGTGTGCGTGTTTTTGTGTGTGTGCGTGTTTTTGTGTGTGTGCGTGTTTTTGTGTGTGTGCGTGTTTTTGTGTGTGCGCGTGTTTTTGTGTGTGCGCGTGTTTTTGTGTGTGCGTGTTTTTGTGTGTGTGCGTGTTTTTGTGTGTGTGCGTGTTTTTGTGTGTGTGCGTGTTTTTGTGTGTGTGCGTGTTTTTGTGTGTGTGTGCGTGTTTTTGTGTGTGTGCGTGTTTTTGTGTGTGCGTGTTTTTGTGTGTGTGCGTGTTTTTGTGTGTGTGCGTGTTTTTGTGTGTGTGCGTGTTTTTGTGTGTGTGCGTGTTTTTGTGTGTGTGCGTGTTTTTGTGTGTGTGCGTGTTTTTGTGTGTGTGCGTGTTTTTGTGTGTGTGCGTGTTTTTGTGTGTGTGCGTGTTTTTGTGTGTGTGCGTGTTTTTGTGTGTGTGCGTGTTTTTGTGTGTGTGCGTGTTTTTGTGTGTGTGCGTGTTTTTGTGTGTGTGCGTGTTTTTGTGTGTGTGCGTGTTTTTGTGTGTGTGCGTGTTTTTGTGTGTGTGCGTGTTTTTGTGTGTGTGCGTGTTTTTGTGTGTGTGCGTGTTTTTGTGTGTGTGCGTGTTTTTGTGTGCGCGCGTGTTTTTGTGTGCGCGCGTGTTTTTGTGTGCGCGCGTGTTTTTGTGTGCGCGCGTGTTTTTGTGTGTGTGCGTGTTTTTGTGTACGCGCGTGTTTTTGTGTGCGTGCGTGTTTTTGTGTGCGCGCGTGTTTTTGTGTGCGCGCGTGTTTTTGTGTGCGGGCGTGTTTTTGTGTGCGCGCGTGTTTTTGTGTGCGCGCGTGTTTTTGTGTGTGTGCGTGTTTTTGTGTGTGTGCGTGTTTTTGTGTACGCGCGTGTTTTTGTGTGCGCGCGTGTTTTTGTGTGTGTGCGTGTTTTTGTGTGTGTGCGTGTTTTTGTGTACGCGCGTGTTTTTGTGTGTGTGCGTGTTTTTGTGTACGCGCGTGTTTTTGTGTGCGTGCGTGTTTTTGTGCGCGCGCTTGCGTTTTTACATTGACTACATTGCCAATATGTGCAGGTGCGAGATAGCAGCTTTGTCTAGCAGCTGGAAAAGTTGTGTATAATATATTTGGACACAAATTTCACGTGTGTGTAAATTATGTTTTTTGCAGAAGTTGGTGGTGAAGCCCGACCAGCTGATCAAGCGACGAGGGAAGCTGGGGCTGATCAAGGTGGGCGTGGACCTGCCCACGGCCCGGGAGTGGGTCCTCCACCGTATGAACAAGGACCAGCAGGTGAGTGTGTGGGGGCTTAGGTACCACGTAACACGTTGTGGATTTAGATTTAGCTACTAAGAACGAAATGGCCATGTAGCACGGGCTATGGTGAGCCTGTCTGTGTGTGTCAACTCGAACGGCTTGTATAGTACTGCCCCCACACCCCCACACCCACACCCACACCCACCCACCCACACACACACACACACACACACACACACACACACACACACACACACACACACACACACACACACACACACACACACACACACACACACACACACCGTATCTGCTGCCACGCACGCACATGAACTACGAAAATGTGTGTGAACACCTGTGTGAGTAATGGCAACATGACACACAGTATGGTTTCGGAACAGGAAGATCCTGTGTTACAAATCTACTTAATTTTTATGATAGCCACTGAGATTCTACAGGAAAGAGATGATTGGGTTGACTGTTTATATCTAGACCTTAAACAAAAGGCTTTTCAGTCCCACACAAATTGTTGTATTGGAAACTGGAAAATACTGAAGGCGGGTTACAAGGAGACTGCTGGTTATTAGTCTTGGTTATTAGGTTCATGAAGTAATTATACATATAATCAGGGCTTATGTTGAGGCTTGATGTGGTAATTAGTGTGTTTACACTAAACTTCATGCATCACACACTTTCGTTTTTGTTTCAAAAGCAATTAAGTCTTTTTAACAGTAATTGATCTGCACGTGGTAAAATGACATCTCTAGTTAAAGAATACTTAATAGGGGGAAATGAGGAACCTTGCCACATAATTCTGGGAACAAATCATGATGCATGTACAATAAGATATAAATCCCGTGACACAGCGTGTGTGTCAAACTGTATGGTACAAGACCATAGTAAACACGTGAACCCCAGTAGTTATGACTCCCGGGAGACTGGTGTTGAACCCGCCTTCCTCCACTCATGGCGGGAAGTGGCCGGGTAATTCATCTGGTCACTCCTTCACCACACTCACCCACTCACTCCCAGTCGCTGGGGACTACTGCCGCCTCCTGCCCGAAGTTAGTTGCAACAAATACTCTCGAGAATATGCATACAAGTACAGTATAACAGTGTGAAGATGGGCCATCTTTATGCAGGCGAGGAGTCACAATAACGTGGCTGAAATATGTTGACCAAACTACACACTAGAAAGTGAAGAGACGAAGTTTCGGTCCGTCCTGGACCATTCTCAAGTCGAATGTGACAATGGTCATTTGACTTGAGAATGGTCCAGGACGGACCGAAACGTCGTAGTCGTCGTCGTCCCTTCACTTTCTAGCGTGTGGTTTGGTCAACATATTTCCATCCTTTTGTTCAGTTATTTGTAGTTGACTGGTGCTGGCTGGCATGTTGACCTCTACATCCTCTTGTGTTCTCTCTGGCTATTGTCTAGTTTATCACCATAAATCCCTATATAGATAGGGACCCTTCCCTCCCCTCCCCTCCCTCCCTCTCCCCTTTTGAAATTGAAATAAGTTTATTGAGGTAAAATACACACAAAGGGATGAGGTAGCTCAAGCTATTCTCACCCCGTTCAGTACATCGTGTTAATACATACATATACACACATCACAAACAATAAACATACTGTATTACCAAACATTCTGAGAGATAAACATATACATTTCCTTCTCCCCTTTTAACCGAAGGATCTTGAAGAGGACAAAGATGATTCCAGTTTACATTAACTGATGTCTAGAATATCTGGTTCTTATTCAATGTAAATTACGTTATCGCAGTTGTGTTCGTGTTCAAGGAACAGTTTGAGTGTGAATACATTAGTGTAGAGACTGAGTTACTATGGAGGCCTGGTCGAGGACCGGGCCGCGGGGTCGCTAAGCCCCGAAAACACCTCAAGGTTGGTACTCTTTGACTAGTGGAGCAAGTTGAGGTCATAGAAAGCTGCACGAGTCGGTTGTTGATCAACAGAGCCACGTGGGTGTTGAGCGGCACGTTGTAATATGGGCTCATTGTTCGTGTCAGGGGGCGTCAATGGAGGTAGTGGATTCTTCTCTGTTCTTAGAGGTTCTTTCTGTAAGGGGGGTAGGGATTTGGAGTTACGTACAGTTCCTAAGTATTTCATAGTTCTTTAATGCTCCTCCGGGAGTCGGTTGGCAGCTGCATCCGGGTTTCTTCTTGAAGGTAATAACTGTCAAGGATATTGCAATTTGTATTCTAGTTGCAAGGTCTGTTTTTCCCCATAAATGTTCTAGTTTTTTGTTAAAGATGTTTTTTTTGTTTATCGAGATGCCTTTTTACATTACCATTAAATCTGCTGGGCGCGCCTTTCTCAGTGGCATTAGCTTATCTTAGGTTTTCTTATCTGACCTTCCTAGGTAGCTGTAGTCTCCAGATCTACACTTGGAGAGAGGAGTTGTATTTGTGGGTCTGGTGCTGTATATCGGAGGCCTGCTCATTGTACTGTTGGTATTTTAATCTTGTTCAGAGTGTACACCTTATTGTTGCTCAGGGCTAGAATTCGCCAAGCATTTATATGCGTGCACTTGCGAAACCTGTACATCTTTCCTCGATCATGGTGGCTTTATTTGTATTAAACAATTTATAAGCTAAACACTAAGAGGGTTTTTCATAACCTTGGATTGTAAATATATAAAGCTTGTAAATTGTTTAATGTAAATAAAGCCTCAATGATTGTTGAAATATGTAGAGGTTTCGTAAAAGCTTGATAAATCCTGGTTCAGAGCTAATAGTATTTTTTAAGAGGTTAATCACTAACGTGCTGTGAGAGATTATCGGCGTAGCTTAGGAGATTAGGGTGGAGTTTGATCCGGGAAGGCTTTTTCCCTCTCGGATATTGAAGAGCGTTGGGCGGGTACTCCTCCTTGCCCCGTCATTTTCAAGGCTCTCGTGTTGGGAAGGACGTTGTCGGAATTACACGCTCAATGTTGACACGGAGTTATGGAGTCGGGTTGTGTACCGAGCTTGACCAGCCCGTCCTCTATATCTGCCCCCCCCCCCCCCGCGGTGGGAGGGAGCAGGCTGAGGGAGGTGTCGGGCAGGGGTGGGGCAGATGTTATCAGTGTTGTGGAGAGAGGTGAGGCATGTAGCACACTCCACACGTGTTGTCTCACTACCGCCGGTGGCGGCTTGTGCGGGACACACCACCTCTTATCATGAGCCTCTCGCCCTCTCCCTCTCCCTCTGGAGGGAGGGGGAGGGGAGGCGGAACTTTTGCTCGCCTCAGTAAATGAACTATTTATTGGGATCTGATGCTATATCGTTAGTAATATATATACACGTTATTAAGCGGCGAGACGAGGTAGAGGGGCGTGGTGACGAGATTGAAAGGCGAGGAGCAAGAGGTGTGTTGAGGTTAGGTTAAGATAAAGTGGAGGGTGGGCAGGCGCCCAGAGGAGAGGGGGATTAAAATACACGATAAAAGGTTGTGATTATCTTACAGCTCCTCCGATTCTGGAGGTGGTGGAGACAGAGGATATAGCCAGAGTTCCCCCTCTGGCTCGCCACCCTGAGGCGCTGAAACTGGGGAAACTGGCAGTCCTGAACTTTCTGGTAATGATTATCCTGGAGCCCAACTCGCTTAAATGTTTGTTACCGTTGATAACGTATTACAGAGCATTAAACTACGAGGTATATTGGTTTGTCGCCACCCTAGTGGCGGCGGGATAGGCGTCTTCATTGTGGACTACTAGTCCACAATGAAGTCTAGTCCACAGGCGTGTCAGTGTTGTGGGCGAGTCACGTCTGCTTCTCTATTGATTCTTCCTCTCCGTCGCCGCCCCAGTCTTTACCCTGGTTAGTGCATTGTGTTGACATGAACGCATCCTAAATGTGTAAACATTGGGGCTGAAGAGTGGAGAGAGCTGTAGCAAAGTGAAGATATGGTTTCCCAAGGAACTGGTAGAATTACTATTTTAAATATTAATTGCCACAGTTAGAACCATTTTGTAAACAAGACAATATGTTTCCAGAGTATATAAGGTTTTATAGAGGCTGAGGGCTCCTAGTAACAGAATTCCTGAACAATTAATACTTTAATTTTTCGATAATTAAGTTATTAACTGGAGTTTGGAAGTACTTAGGCTGATCTTAATAAAAAAGATTAATACGTGAAATTATCGTTTAGGGTAGTTTCGTGTGTGTACTCACCTAGTTGAGCTTACAGAGTTGGCTTCACTCATTGTGTGAGGGGCTCAAACTGGCTTACTCCCCCCCATCCCTCATCCTGTCACCCCCATGCCTCACTGCTCAGTCATCCTCACCTCTAACAAGCTTGGTCACCCTGACTGCTCCTCACAACTCTCATTATCTTCAAGTAGAATATCCTGGGCTGGTCTTTATGGTTCGCTAGAGGGATCCCCGTCCAAGCACTACTTGGGGTAGTGATTTGTCGGGGGATTCGCCAGTCCTCCCAACCCACACAATTAAAGCCAACCATTTACTAGTTGTTGTTAGTTATTAAACCCATTGACTTAAGCCATTAGTTCTAGTCGTAAATGTAGTTATTTCTCTGAAGTCCGGTCGTTAACTGTAGTACGCACACGCACGTACGTACGTACTTCATAATGGAATGGAATGCATTAGGCAGTGATGTGGTGAGGCAGACTCCATACACAGCTTCAAGTCTGTATATGATAGAGCCCAGTAGGCTCAGGAACCTGTACACTAGTTGAGAGGTGGGACCAAAGAGCCAGAGCTCAACCCCCGCAAGCACAACTAGGTGAATACTTGTGGGGGGGCTCTCCGCGGCCCCGACCTGTACCCGTTTGTTACCTGTTGATGGTTTTGAGAGTTCTACTTCTGTAGCCTGATCTGTAACCAGTCTTACAAGGTGCTGGGCTGGTCAAGACGGCTGCTCGTCTCCGTTGCCCGGAGGGTCACACCCAGGATGATCACATTACACCTCCACAAACTTGACCAGTTCCCTGGACAAGTTTGTTGCGGTCTTGAGTAACCATCGTTCACCGACGCAGGCGATGAGTCACAATAACGTGGCTACAGTCAACATCTTT